CCTCCATGGGAGCTGCAGGGAGCCAGTGCTTGGGGGCAGTGCGCAGACCCGCCCCCCTTGCTCCTCCAACCACAGGGGCATGTTACCACTTCCAGGGAGGGTCCAGCTTCTGCATGCACATGCCCCTGAACCTCCTCCTGCCCCCTAATGGCGCCATCAGCCCCACATTCCCCCTGCCAACCCTACTGGAGCCTTGACCCCTGCAAACTGGATCAGCAGTGCATTCAAATCCAGGGCAGGACTGCAGGGAGCATGCAGCCCTGGGCTAGCTGGAGGACTGTGTGGGTATCATTCCAGTCGGGTATCATTCCAGTCAGGCACCAGGAGGGGCGGGGAGCTTGCCTTGTACATGCCTGCTTCACAGCCTGGTATCATCAGCCTGCCGCTCTCATGTGAAAATAGTCCTTGCTGGCCTTCGCCTTGTCTCCGTTAACGTCCTTCCCCAGAAATTTCCCTTGGTATATTCAATCCCCTGTGCTGTGGATGGATTCCATCACCACTTGGCTGGAGTCAGACCATACAGTGGGCAGGTGTATTAACGAAACACTTCCCATCATGCTTTCTGGCTTCCTCCCACCAATGGCCCTCCGGTCTTTGTCCTCCACTCCCATCCGCATGCACACCATGGCTATGTCTACACTGCCAGGTTCTTGCACAAGAACAGCCGTTCTTCTGCAGAGCGTCCACACTGCCCACCCGCTCTTGCGTAAGGGAATTTACAATAAAATATGGTAAGAGAGGGCTTCTTGTGCAAGAGCTACGCTCTTTTCTAACAAGTGTAAACTCTCTTGCGGAAGAGCTCTTGCGCAAGAGGGCAGTGTGGACGTGCAGCAGGGGTTTCTTGCGCAAGAAAGCCCTATGGCTAAAATGGCCATCAGAGCTTTCTTGTGCAAGAGAGCATCCACACTGCCATGGATGCTTTTTCACAAGAACCCACTAGTGTAGGCATAGCCCATGGTTGCTCTACAGCTGGAGCACCCATGGGTGGAAATGGTGAATACTGAGTATCCACCAGCTGCCCTTCACCCCTCAGCACTTCCTGCTGGGTCCCACAATCAGCACCTCACCTTCTCTCTCCACCTTTTATGCCCACCATGATCATACGTTTCATGGTGTGCAGGCTGGAGGTTGGGAGGGAGTGGGGAAGAATGAGGATGTGGTCAGCTCAGGGGAGTGGGTGGAACAGGGCAATAAGAGGTGGGAGTGAGATTAAGTGGGACTGGGAAGAGCTGGAGCATGGATAGAGCCTTCAGAACAGGGTGGGAAGGAGTGTGTGTGGGGGGATGGCCTATGGCAGAGCTGGGGGTGGAGCACCCTTCAGCACTTTAGAAAG